TATTTTTCTGTTACTGCACACATCTAGAATGTTGTTAAACATATGAGAAAGAACTTATCAAAATTATTAACTAACAGGTAATTGAGACAGTTATAAACATCATCTATGTCTTCACTCATTAAATATTTAAGTCAAGATCCATTTTGTTTTCCAGTAATCAGCAGACAAGTTTTCCAATTCCACTTTGACAATAAAGATACCAGAACCTTACTGCTTCAAGAATTGTTCTGAAGACATTCATGAGAATCAGCTTTCTTGGGGGTTTATGTGACTTTCCCCCCACATTCCCTGCCAGGAGGTAGCTTTCTATGGAGTGATGGAGGGAAGTCCAAAATCCCATTAAAGCACAAAATCTCTTTTGTTTTAATCTCATATGACTGAAGACTCTTAAAAAACTCGGGAGTCTGAAACCAGACCAGAAACACTTCAAAATAACAGTTGGTTTCCTACAACTGTAGGACTTGTGATTATCTCCTACAACAGTCACTTTAAATTGGCAATACCTTGATGAAGAGCTGAAAGGAGCCCTGCAGCACTTTTATGAACTTGACTTTGGAATCCAGCTTCCCCCCCTCGCCAGCCCCTGTGTTTTGACTTGAAATTTGTTTGTGGTGAGCAGCCCTACGGCCCCGGGTGGCACGGGGGAAGAGAGGCTCTCTCTGCCTGAGAGTTTGGTGCCATTTCTGCTTCAAAAAGAACTCCATTGTTTCACCTACCTCTGAAGAACTAATAAATCCCAAAGTAGGAACATGCTCATGAATTTTTCTTCCGGCTGCCTCCTGTCAGCAAATTGCCTGTACAATTGCAACCAGTGCATTTGTGCCTACATTAATGCTATCATTTCTGTAATTACTAATGAGCAAAGACTAGCTAATTTTGTTTACAAGTATTCTCTATGACATTTTTTCCTCTATTAAAATGCAATTTACAGTCAGGCTGGATTAGTGCAGTGGACAACAAAGGCCCTACATAAAGTTTGGTAGCTTTTGCAAAGTTGTGGTGCTTAAGTATCTTAAATCTCTCGTTCTGCTTCATTGTCTCTGCTTGCAAGAGCCCCAAGGTTACAGCCCTTCAGCTCTTGTCCTTTTTTAAGGTCTGAAGTTCTGCCAGGTCAACTCAAACACCAGTTCTGAAGGGGGATGTGGTTTGACAGAAGCTGAGGTCTCTCAGATACCAAAGCTGCTGCTCAAGGCAGCATTGTCCTTGCTGACAAGTGTCCCACATGCATGATGGGTTTCTGGTGGGGAGGTGAAGAACGAATGGTGTCCTGCTTCTGGAGTGGGGTGAGCTTCCCTGCTGCTGAGTGGACATCTGACCTTGTGCCTGTCTACAGGAGTGTCTGGTATCCTTAGCTCTGCCTGAAAACCTTCTGCCTTTCCCAAGATGACTTCCTTGCTTTGTTCCTCTCATCCTGGAACAGTTTCAGACTGGTTGCAGCTGCACATTTCCCTCTGGGGAACACACCAAGAGAGAAAGGGCAAAGGCTGATGCCTTGGGGGGTCTTCCATGGAAGTCACCAGGATCCATCCACATACACAGGCAGGACAGCTCAGCCTGCAAGACCTCCTGGGAGCAATCTGGCTTCTTGACTTGCTTCTGATCCAGCACAAGTCCTTAACCTGAGAACTTCCCTGATTTCCTCTTCTTTACCATGACATGAGTGCTGGGTGTGAGCACAGTGACCCAGGGTCTTTTGCTGAACTCTTTCTTTTCATGGGATGCAGACACAAACCTTAAAGCAGAAACAGCTCAGGGAAAGGTGGGCTCGTGGCATGTGCCAGTGGAAGCACAAGGACAAAACCTGAAGCAACCACACCATGAAATATGGTCATTGTTGTCATCTGGGCAGATGCCAATGGAGGAGAACCTCCTTGCTGAACGTTTGTCACCCTGCTCACTCGCTAGTTCAGCACCTGAGATATTTGTCCTGGAGCTGTCATCAGTAATCTTCCTGCACTGCTGAAACTTCTGGTGACAAGAGCAGCAGCAGCAGCCATGTAGTCACAGTCCTTGGAAAAGTCCATAAATATCAGAAACCCATGTTGCTCAAGTGTAGTGAGAAAGCAGGGCAGAAGTTGAAGGACCATGCACCAAAACTCATGTGGTGTGAATCAAAGACATTTTCCAGGTGATCTTCATCAGGAGAGACATTGTGTCCAGAGCAGGGGTTTGAGAATTAGGAGAGCTGGGTCTTATTTGGCTTGTCCAGAGGTTTTGTCCAAGTAGATCCTGTGCACAAATATCTAGCAGGGTCTTAGATTTCTCCATGTCAGGGCCCTCAGTCCCCCTGCTCTGCAGCAGTTTGCCTGTTAGAAAGCAAATTTGACACAGTATTATAGTAAAGTAAAGAAAATAAATTATGAATAATTTTAAATGTTAATTATCCTAAAGTGTGGTGTTTAGTCCAGGGTTCATCTCCTTTGTGTGATAATTAACTCAGAGATCCTGATTATCTCAGCATTAGCTCAGTTAAGGCACCTTTTACCACCTGCCTGCATATGGCCACGTCTGCCTGCCAGGGCTCTGCGTGTCTCACGGGAGCTTGTGGCCAAAATCCTTCTCCAAATGAACCTGGTGACATAACTTCCATGTGATGTCATCACTAGCTCTGCCCCACTGCAGCCTGTGCAGCCACATATCTGACACAAAGCCTGGGTGCCAGATCCTGTCCCAGGGCTGCCCTCCTGCTTGATATGAGGGGATGGGTTTAAGCTGACAGAGGGGAGATTTAGGTGAGACATTAGGAAGAAATTCTTTCCCATGAGGGTGGTGAGAGCCTGGCCCAGGTTGCCCAGGGAAGCTGTGGCTGCCCCATCCCTGAAGTGTTGAAGGGCAGGTTGGATGGGGCTTGGAGCAACCTGGGCTGGTGGGAGGTGTCCCTGCCCATGGCAGGGGAGTTGGAACTGAGTGGTCTTTGAGGTTCCTCCAACCCAAACCAGTCTGGAATTCAACATGCCACCATTTCCTCCTGCTGCCTTCTGTCTGATACCAACTCTGCTGCATTCACTCAGCCAAACCAGCTGCATTTCTCTCCTGAAAAGCCAAAGAACCAATGAAATCAAAGTCTCCCTGCAAACACAGCACCTAGCTGTACCCACCAGAGTGGACTGTGCTGCTCAGCCCTGCCTTGCCTCAAGTACTTTCTCTGTCACGACAGTAGATTCTGATGCACAAACTAAAATTGATTCCATTTTTTTTCCTTCTGCATGCCCCACAGTTATCAGAATCATTGCTTCTTTTTATACAGTAAATAGGAAGAGATGCTTTTAAAACTCCCTTGTTTCCTGAGTCAGGATGCCAATAAGCTATGAATAATGAAAAAAAAAAAAACCAACAACATTGCACGAAGGGCTGAGACCCAGCAGAGAATTTTAACTAGCAAGGAGTAACAGCATTAGGACTGCAACACAGCCCTCCTCACTGCTGCAGGATGGAGCAGTTGTTAAAGGAGCCTGGCCAGCCCTGGTGCCAGCGTCCCGAGGTGGCACGTGCCACACGGTGCGGCCACCGCTCCCCTGCCAGCCCCTTCCTACTGATGGCAGGAGAACTGGCAGGTTCTCAACCTGCAAATGCCAAGAGATCCATCAAAGCAACGATTTACAAATATCATCCTGGGCTCTAGTAATATTTTTTTTTCAGCGGGTAATAACGCACTTCCCTTCCTCCTTCCAAAAAAGCAGCATTAGTTCATGATCCAATTTTGGAAGCCTTGTGTTACATTTTGGGGGGGTTGTGCTCTTGCAGGAGCAGCTCATGTGTTCACTCTCACTTCTCGTGTGGGACTTGGTCACAGCTGGATGCAGTTTCTTCCTGACTTCTTTTCAGACTGCTGAAGCATTAAAATCTTTCATGCTGTTGGAAAATGTTAATTTGTTTGGCTGAACACAAACAACTGGCAGTGCCTTAAGCTCTTCACTATTTCCTTTTTCTTCCTCCCCCCCCCTCAACTCTCTCTGAAGCTCCACTCGCTGCTTCTTTAAACTGATCTCCAACATTATATTATTTATGAATAAAGGTCACCCCGTGAGGAAATGGCACATCTACTAGAAAACAATGTGCACTTTCTAAATTTGAACCAAGTCGTTTCCGTTCTTTGATTTAAGTTTAGTTACTTCCTGTGGTTTCTTGTCCTGCGCCGCTGCTGAATCTTTGGATGGGCTCCAGGATAAATTGCACTCCTTCAATGAAATTAGAAACTGCGGCAACAGGCGGCTTAGCTAGCACAGCCAGTAAACAGCACTTACACTAAATATTAGCCCACTTAGTGTTTTGACGAGGAGTGGTTAATTACCTGGGCGAGGTGACCCACCGAGTCCGCCCCACGCGCGCTCCCCGGAGCCGTACGGCTGCTCCCACGCTGGTCTGTGACCAGCCAAGCTGCTGAGCAAGAACTTCCCCTCCCACAGGAGGACTGGAAGCAGTCGTGGAGACCAGCAGCTCCCGAGGGCCGTGGGGCATTTCCTCAGCAAAGCCAGACCACCCTCCTGCAGGCAGAGCCTGGCTCAGCCCCACGCGCCCAAGCATCTTTGTACCAGGCTGAGCTCCGATGAGCCTTGATTTTGTGTCAGGTTTTTTTAGGGATCAGGGTCAAATGGGGGAAATCCCCAACCCCCAGAAAAGTCATTTCAGGCAGTTTGCCAACAAAAATGAATGCACCAGGAACCCTGAGATGTGCTTTCCCTTGGTAACATGGTGAGGGGGCACTGCGGGAACAGCAGCCCTCCCAGAACTAGAGGATCTACCCGTGGCCAAAGTCAGGGAGAGGAACACCATAGCAAAGGAGAAGTGGTGCACTTTATACCAAGCCCCCTGACTCCCTTGGACAGTATTTACCTTGTAAGACCTTCTGCATAACAACAAGCCTCAGCAAAGAGCTTTGCTTGGGCTGGGCTGGCAGGGGAACTCAATAACCATGCGCCCTTTCTCTCCCCCCGCCCCTTTTCTCTCTCCTTTCCCTCCCCCAGGACACTTAAGAGCAGACCTCTCACCACTGTCAGACTGCCTTCCCAATGGAGCCCCGGGTTCCCCACAACATCACCGTTGTCCCCAACGCTGTGATGGTCCAGCCCCTGCTGGACAGTCGGATCCCCTACGGGCGGCTGCAGCACCCCCTGACCATCCTGCCCATCGACCAAATGAAGACAACTCACATCGAGAACGATTACACCGACAACCCCACCGCCCCCCAGCCGGCAGCGCAGAAGCGTCCCCGAGTTCCCCACGAACTGGTCCTGACCAACCAGCACCTGCAGCACTGCGACCAGGATGTCACCCACCCCTGGATTTCCTTCAGCGGGCGCCCCAGCTCCATCAGCAGCAGCAGCAGCACATCCTCAGACCAAAGGCTCTTGGACCACATGGCCCCGGTGCCCGTGGTGGAGCAGTCCTCCCCCAGAGCCGTTCGCATCCAGCCCAAGGTGATTAACTGCAAACCCCTGGACCTGAAGGGACCTGTGTCTCAGGAACTGGACAAGCACTTTCTCCTGTGTGAAGCCTGTGGGAAATGCAAGTGCAAGGAGTGTGCATTGCCCCGGACTCTGCCATCCTGCTGGGTGTGCAACCAGGAGTGCCTCTGCTCGGCGCAGAACCTGGTCAACTACTCCACCTGCATGTGCCTGGTCAAGGGCGTCTTCTACCACTGCACCAACGAGGATGACGAGGGCACGTGTGCTGACCACCCCTGCTCCTGCTCCCACTCCAACTGCTGTGCCCGCTGGTCCTTCATGAGCGCCCTGTCCCTGGTGCTCCCCTGCCTGCTGTGCTACCTGCCAGCCACCGGCTGCGTCAAGCTCTCCCAGAGGTGCTACGACCAGGTGAGCCGGCCCGGATGCAGATGCAAAAACACAAACAGTGTCATTTGCAAGGCTCTGCCAGAGAGCAAAGGAAGCAGCTCAGAAAAGCCCTTTTGATGGTTTGGGAGGACGGGGAGCCGGAGGATGCTCCATGGAAGGGGGATTTTGGCTCTTTAATAACCTGTGTTCCAAGGATTTTGCCTTCAGAGAAAGCAGAAGCAACTATTTCCACAAACTGAAGCACTTCGGGTTATTCAGGGTTTTGAAACTGGTCAGAATTTAAACAGATGGGGCCAAAGGAGGAATCCTACTGATGTAAAGTGAAGGCTGAAACCCTTGTGAAGTACAGCTGCTTAAAAACTCCTGGTTGGGCCAGACAGACCACAGCTGCTCACCCCACCTGTGCACCCCGAGGACCACAGACTGACTGCTCGCTTGGCAGGCTCAGCCACACACACCATACCCATCCCTGCCTGCAGAAAGCTGCCTTGGATCCATCGTGTTCAGGCTGGGCTTCTTGGTTTGGCTCTCCTTCCACCCCCTGCTGTGCCACAGCAGCCTGCTGGAGGTGACAGGTCACTCCCCTCCACCCCTTCCCCCACACCCTTAGAGGAGCCACTTGCACACAGAGCACATCTTTCTCAAAAGCTTTCTCTGTCTCTCAAAGATTTTGAGCCACAAGTAAAGACACAGGTCATCTGCTTAAGGGTCTCTTAACAGGTAGGCACGTTGGTTTCTTTGAACCCTCCCCTTTGCCACATTGGGACCCTCTCTTTAAAGCAAGGTGGGAGCAGGGTTGCTCCCTTCCCGGGAAGGGCAGCACAGGATGTTCTCAGGCAGCGGGATCAGCCTCCTGTTGTCCTGCCCATGAGCTGATCTGTAGCCTCAGGTTTCATTCAGGGGAATATTCCCTGTTCCCCCAGTGCCCAGACCCTCCCAGCAGGACGTGGCACGTCCCGTTCCCCACACTGCTCACTCCTGCCCACAGCACAGGGGATCTCCACTAAGATGTTCCATCTTTGTTCCTCCAAACCTCTTCAGCTCTGTTAAGAAGTCACAAAAACCTAAGTGTAGGATACACATTCGTGTATTTTAGTAGGGATATCAATCCATACCTCCTCTCCTGGAACAAGCTTGTCTTTCCTCATTAAATGTTAAGATTTTTAATTTTTTTTTGTCTTGGGGAAGAATGGCATTAGCTTGAAGCACAGCCCATTCCCCCATCCTTATTGCTGCTCTTTGGCTTTTGCCTCCTCTGTACTAAAGTATGTCTTTTTAAACGTAGAGAATGCTTTTAATGTTTATTTAGTGTTAACAAATGCCAGGGAAAGCCAGGAGAGGGAAGAGGGAGCATTTAGGAAACTTGCCCATGGTTTTCAGCAAGCAAACATCATCACTGTGCCCATGCACTCACCCTTGTCCCTTGAGATGCAGCAACCCCACCTCTTTGACAACTACAAGGTGCTAAATAAAAAGCTTTGTCCAAACATGCAAAACTGTAATAAGCAGGTAGGTACTTGTTGCATGCAGAAAACTGATCTAGTCTGTTTTGTTGTTGTTGGTTTTTTTTTAATTAGAGGAAATTTCCTCAGTAAATGCACAGCAGTGACAGTGAAATGTCATCTCTAATTAGCTAAGCAATAGGCAGAGCTCATGTAGCATTTCCAGGAATACAGTTGCTGTGCAGGGGTTGGCAGGAGCGCCCTGGTGGGACTTCTGGTGTCTTTTGTTTTCAGAATTCATTTAACCTGGATGACTTGGGGTTTAGTTAAGCTTAATTGTAGATATTTATTAAATTGGGAATTTACAAAAAGCCCAAACTTTCTATATTTATAACATTTGGTAGCTTATATATGATAAATCCTAGAAAAAGGGATACTGTGTCTGTCACCAGATACCAGTTCCTGTCGTTTATCCCCATGTTGACTCTATGGGGACACCAGAGAGAAGAAAGCAGGTGGGGAGCCAGAGCTGTAATTGTGATCTGGCACAAATTGGCAGGGAAAAGATAAAAGGAAAACCAGCCCCCAGCTAGCTGAGCTGTTGGATGAATGTATAAGGTGTTGTATTTAATAAGAAAAATCATTTTTCTAAGGTGCAAACAGGCTAGAAAATGTGGCAGGAGAGGTATTGAACGGCTGCCCTCCTCTCCTGGGACCAGGTGTACCCAAAGGGGCTCCACCCATGGTTGTTTTGCCTTTTTGACCCTCTGTCCCTGGCTGTTCCTGGAGGATCTGTGCTGAAAACCCTCAGCAGCAAAACCCATGGCTTAGACATGTGGTCCTTGTGAGCAAACACAGGGCTGGAGTGGTCACCACCGTGCCCATCTACACTCATGTACATACACCCAGCAACCCCCCCCCGGGTTTCCTTCCACTGTACATAGGTGTAAACTACTTCTCTGTTGGTTTCTTTTAATGTATAATTCCTGCTATGGTGTAAGGCTCTCCCGTGCTGGAGGGCTGTGAAGTGGTAGTGGATGTGTTAGAGCGGTGGTAAATGTAGCAGAGAGTCCTTCTCAGCTGGACCTGCTCCATCAGCTCCAGCCCAGGGCCCTGGAGGAAGCCCCGAGCTCCCTGCAGAGCCCCTGGGAGGGTACGTCCCTGGTCAGTGATGTCTGTGTTCCCCTCACTTCCCCCATCCCAACCCCTCTGCTCTCCCATCCCCTTTGAAGGTACTTGGGTCCTGCCACCCCCGAGACGCGCCAGGGACGCGGTGCCACGTCACCTCAGCCTGGCCAGCCAGGGCCCTCACTGACACACCCCTCAGCATCACCTGTGTCTGGGGGCTTGTGGCTGCGGGACAGCGAGCGGAGAGGTCACGGGCAGGACCCCTGGGCTGGGGCTGTGCCCTGCAGAGCAGCTCTGCAGGAGGAAGAGGAGGAGGAGGAGGAGGGTGGGCTGTGCCGCCCTGTGCTGCTCATCGCTGGGGCAGGTTCATCCCCTGCCCACACACAGGTGCCAAAGCCCCGTGAGCAAGAGGGGGTGATGTGACAACCACACCCCCAGCTGGAGCTGGACACTGAAACCATCACCACACACCAGGCACACGGAGCAGCTCCCAGATTCACCCTGTTGCTCCCTGGGCACCAGCTCTGCCACCTGGACGAGCCCCTCACCTGCTCACAGCACTGGGCATCCCCCTCCCACACCCCACACCCTGATAAAGGCTTCCCCTTTCTCCTGTCACCACCCCACCAACTACACACCCTGAAATGTTGCCACAGAAGGTTTTCTTTGTATAGAATATTTATTTTGAAGCTCTATTTTAATAGTATTTATTTTAGAAAGTCTACTATTGTAAGAGTTCTTCTGTTTGTGAAGAAAAACAAGTACTGATGAATGTACTGATTTTGAAATTATATATATATAAATATATATTGTTAAATATATAAATGGCTCTTGTGGTTTGTTTTGGTTTTTGTTTAAAAAAATAATAATAATTCAAATCTTTAGAACAACTATTCTAAAAATACAGGCAGAGAGTAGCCCAAAACTGGTGATTTGATCCTGCACACACTAGGAGCAATGGAGGGAGCCAAGAGCCCAGGTGGGATAACATGTAACACAGACAGACAGCACACCCTTAGCATGAAACTTTCATGGAATCACAGGATGGTTTGAGTTGGAAGGGACCTTACAGACCACCCACTCCCACCCTTTTAGACCAGGTTGCTCCAAGCCCCATCCAGCCTGGCCTTGGACATTTCCAGGGATGGGGCAGCCACAGGTTCTCTAAGCAAGGAGTTTTAATGGAGACTTAACAATTCCAACCTAATGTTGAGAGAGCTCAGGAACCAAGCAGAGCCCAGGTCTGCTGGCCAAGGACAACACGAGTCGCTCACGTGGGGACACAAGTGGCCACCCCACCGAGAGGCTTTGTGTCCACAGCTACTGACTGCCAGACACAAACAGCCAGAGCTGCTCCTCTCTCTGCCAACACAGCCACAGGCACCACCAGAGCCCTGGCTGGATCCAGAGCACCCACAGTCCCACCCTCCAGCACCCACCACCCTGCCTCCCAGCTCACCAGCATCACATTCAGCTGCCAAAAACAAAGTATCTGGGCTATTTTTCACTATCCCTGTTACTTCTTTGCCCACACTGTGGAGTGATGAGTCACTGAAAGACACCCCCAAAGTCACCTGAGTGCTCTACCTGGCCTGGAATAATATTATTGAAACAATAATGCTGAGTTAGTCACTGGATCAGTTAAAGAGACAATAACAACACTGTACAGATCTCCACATCTGATGCCAAACATTTTGCAATCAGGAAAAGATGCTGAATTTGTTATGCTGGGTTTTTTTTTAAACAATGAGACTGAGCCAGGATGTATAAATTTAAATCAGAGTTTGGCAACACTGCCTGATGTCTTGCACATAAAGCTTTAAAAATATCAACTCGGAGCTCCTATCTCTCTGCTGGAAGTGAACCAAAACACTCTTGTTGATTTGACTAGTAGATGTTACAGTAACATTTTTCCAATCAGAATTATCACCTTTTCTTTACATTATTTTTTACATTGCTTTGAATAATTGACCATTGAAGGAAACCAATTCCAACCCTGCAAACACGGGTTATAAGGTGGCAAAGAGATACCTGACAGCCTTCTCAGTCTGCTGCCAGGTCCAAAGCAACCCCAGCTCTTGGAGGTCAGAGCAGAAAGGGAATTCCTAGTGAAGCAAAGCATCCCAAATACCCACTAAATAATGCATTCATTCTGAGTAAATGGGCTGGAACGCATAAGAATGAGATAAAAAACAGGTTTTGAAATGTCCTTTACAACTATTTTGCTAAAATATGTGCTTAATAAACATGTTGAGGTTTTTTTCCAAGGGCTTAGAAAACACCCCTGATGAGATGTGAAATTTGTCAGCTTTGCCAACGAGGGGAGGAGGGGACAGGGAGAGCAAACAAGCGACACTGGGCACAAGTTGCATCCCTCCTGGAAGGCAAACACGGCAGTATTAGAGCACCACACCAAAAACTAAAGCCCTGAAGATGGTGTTTGTTGTTCCCTGGCAGCTCGGAGGTGGGTTTTTTGGCCAGGGAGCAGGACACGTTCCTCCATGCCCAGCCACCTCCACAGGAGCAAGGGGGACAATGGGCACGAGGGACCCAGCAGCTCCTGCTCCCTTCCCAGCCCAGTTGAACTCTGCAAACCCATGAGGCCCAAGCACAAAGGCCC